TAACACCTCAGAGCATACAGAATAATTATCGCAAAAAGCATTTAACGTACACATATTTGTTTCCAAGACCATTTACAGTGATAATTACTCCGAAAATTTCACATTTACGCGCCAAATGCGGCAGGGGTCAAAATGACCCCTTCCGCGGTTCTAGGTATACGAAAATGTCAGCGGTTCTAGTGTTAATAAAACGTGTACACTTTCATGCAAAAAAAAAAAACAAATTTAGTTTGTTGTTGTTTGAACACGTTCAGTGTCATTCAGAGTATGCCTGGAAGTATATTTAACTTCTGGGTCTAGTCTTATGTACATTTTCATAGGTGTGATATTGGATTCATAAGCTAACATCAATAACTTAAAATTTCGGCATAACTTGCATGTATTCTACAAACTGCGGCACACACAGCCAAAGATGTTCAGCGTATGAAAAGAATACTTCGTTTGTTGAGTTTTACTTACAAAGTAGACAGAAAAGGTGCCTGGCAAAAAGATGGTTCGAAGCGAGCCGTCACTCAAACGGGCCGAAGGCCCGTTTTCGGATAGAAGATGTATTACACCATAAAAATTTAGAAGGGACGGGCCGAAGGCCCGTCCCAAACGCCGCCGGCAGGCCAAGCTGGGCCCGCTCCCTGCCGAACCGAGTTGCCGGTGGAGCGAAGCGGAGCTGGCAACTTGGTTTGGCGGAAGAGCGGGCCCAGCTTGTTGTACTATAACATCAACTGTGAAAGCTACTTCATGACATAGGCAGGTAGTGTTTACGAATTTTCGAAATAATATTTAAGGAAACGGTGCGGATTGCGTAAAGGCGGTTTTTATTTACTGTCACTGTTGTGGAAGTTGGCACTAGTGTTTACCAAAAATATGAAAAATGTATGAGAACGCCGAGAATTTGAACCTGTAAATATGGAACTAGTCTAGAAAAACGTTTGACAACATTTAGGGTTAAAAGCCTACTAATTATACATAAGCCTTGGCCTTGCTTTGTAAACAAAGCCGGAGAATAACAAAGTTGGAGCCGGGACACCATTTACGGCATGATTTGCAAGCCTGACCCTAAGAATCGCTTATCAAATGTACGCCGCAGGCGCCCTCGGCAGCCCCTGGAAGGTTACGCATACCGCACGTTCGTGTGAAATTACTCTATAGACTAGAGGAAACACGACCTGGCCAGATACAGGCCCTTCCGCCCCGGATTGGCCAAGTACAGCACGTCAAAACGTCAAAAACAGACGATTTGAGTGTGTTTACCTCCTTTTTCGCCTTCTGGGAGGCTGCAGAGCCACCTTAGCAGCCTATCGCGGTCGTATCTTGATTGTGCAAAGCAGTACGAGTGTTTTGAGCTGTGAACGGCGAAAATCGGTCGATTTTTGAGGGAGTTATGATTTTTTACTAAAATCAAACAATTCCAAAACTTTGGAGCAGTGGCGCATAGCTCAATTTTCATAATTTAGGAAATCGCCGAGACACGTATTTTTTCATTTTAAATAAGGAATCGATGTGGGGGTAGTGCGGAATTTTTTTCGAAACTTTAGTGAAAAGTGAAACGCTCTAATGAGTCACCTAAGGGGGCCTGCTATAGAACTTGAACTGACTGTGCATCCAATTGTGGGGGGATTTACTTGCCAATGTTTTGACATATTCCCCTGTGATATTCGTGAGTCGCTCTAAGTAATTTGGTCAACTCATGTAAATCAAGTTGCGTTGCTTGTTTTCCACAGGTGTGAATCTTCTCATGGCTTGACACGTGAAGATTCTCACCTGTGACGTGTGCATTAAAGTTCGTTAAGTGTTAAATATCACAGGCGAGTGTCATCATCCTTTCTTAGTGAGTCTATCACTTGTTTTCTAAGTAATATGTTTGACAATTCACTGATGAGCAAACATAAGCACGTAAGCCCACATTTTACTCATTTCAGGTTTTTGTTAGCAGTAAATTCTACAAACTGAGACGCATCTTTCTGTGAAAACGGATTGAAAATATCTTAGTAAACGGCGGAGATACAGAGCATTACCAAACAGCGCACCCAGAGAAGCGAGTTCTTGATTCAATCCCAGTGCCGGGCTTGATCTCTTGTACTTGACTTTTGCGCTTGATTTGATCCCCGCTTGCGCTCGCTCATTGGCTCTCCTCGGCGAGAACTTGTGTGTCGAATCAACCTCAGAATGTACTTGGCT